GGAGGAGTTTGCAAAGGCATGACTCTCCCTGGGGCTGTTGCTGGCTTTCCAGACTCTGAGACCTCCTGCAACTGTTCCTCCACATCCTTTCCCCTTGTGTTTTGCCACCCAGTCTCCTCCTCTGCTGGCGACTGCCTTACAGGTGGCTCCGAACCCCACAAATCACTGGCCCATTTCCCTGGATCCTCTTCCTCCCCACTTGCCTCCTCTGCCCATTCCTCAGGTTCCTGCCCATCCCTGACAGATATAAACAAACAGCTCTGTCCTTCCTTGGTCAGTGGAGGATCCTGGAGGAGTTCCATCAGCCATAAATATTTTTAGGCCATGCTGCTGCTCTGTAATTAAACATAAATCAATATCATAAAAGAAAGAAGGCCAGCTTTTGGTTAAAATAACTTTCCTAGTCAAAACTAGGAAGGCTGTTTCTTTGGAATAGCTTTTTGAGTACTGAGAAAGTTACACAATGACTTTGTTGAAGTTGGCACTAATCTGCTTGCCACAGAACTTGAGTGTTGGCATTCTGTGTGAGGCATCCATAAAATGTGTTGCTATGTATAAGCAAGTGCATAATTTCTGCCCGCAAGAACAGGGTTAACATGATGTCTCCGAGCCTTGCCAGGTCTTAACAAACTTTGCTGAAAGCACATTCTGTAGTTTCTAAGATGAGACCTCATACAAAAATAAAACCAGGAGTTTTAGCCATCCCAAATATTAAATCAAAGGGACTCACCAACTAGAAAGTAGTGGGTTATATTGCCATTGCAGATATGGGTGTTTATTCATATACTTAAATTGACTTCTTTGCTTCGAATTAGGTATAAATTAAAATGCTGGTTTAGGGGGAGAGGGGAAATAATTCTTACCAATGAAAATGATTTTTTCCTAGGATCCAAAGTATGCTTGATATAAAGTTCTGGACATTCCCTCTGTATTGCACCAGGTGTCTCAAACCCGAGGCTCTGGTAGCAGGGCTCTGGCATCTAACTCCCTAGACACTAAGGGCAATTTGGAGATTAACTGTTGTTCAGCACCACAGCTGTTGCAGGTGATTAGAGGGTGTGCTACAACTTTCAGGGCCAACAGTTCCAGGAAACCACAGGAGGGCAGAGTGTTCCATCCTGCTTACAGGCATCTGGGTGGCCACTATGGGAACAAGATGCTGGATTACATAGGCCCTTGGCCTGATCCAGGAGGCTTTCCTTATGTAAGGGACAGTGTTGCAAGTTGCCCAGCTTTCTTCATATGCCTGCTTTACAGTGGTGCCCCGCAAGACGAACGCCTCGCAAGACGGAAAACCCGCTAGACGAAAGGGTTTTCCGTTTTGGAGGCGCTTCGCAAAACGAATTTCCCTATGGGCTTCCTTCGCAAGACGACAGCCCATAGGGAAATCTCCGGGACAGCGGGGAAGCGCAGCGGACCTCCTCCGAAGCCTGGCGGCGGGGCGGGAACACCTCCTCCCACCGCCGCCGGGCTTCGGAAGGCTCCTCCGAAGCCGGGTGGTGGGGCGGGAACACCTCCCCCCGCCGCCCGGCTTTGGAACGATGCTCCAAAGCCGGGCGGCGGGGAGGGAACACCTGCCCCCGCCACCCGGCTTCGGAACGATTCTCCGAAGCCGGGCGGCGGGGCGGGAACCCTTCCCGCCGCCGCCCGGCTTTGGAAGGCTCCTCCGAAGCCGGGCGGTGGGGCGGGAACACCTTCTGAAGGCGGGCGGGGGGTGAAAGTCTTTGTTCCCCCCTGCCTGCCTTCCCGGGAGAGCGGAGAAACGCAGCGCGTTTCTCCGCTGTCCCGGACGGCTTTTGAAGGCAGGCGGGGGGGAGCAAAGACTTTCGCCCCCTGCCCGCCTTCAGAAGAGGTCCTGGACCTCTTCTGAAGGCTGGCGGGGGGCAAAAGTCTTTGTCCCCCCTGCCTGCCTTCCCAGGGGCTTTTAAATCGCCCCGGACAGCGGAGAAGTCCTCCGCTGTCCCGGGGCGATCTTAAAATGCCGCCCGCCAGCATTTTAAGATCGCCCCGGACAGCGGAGAAGTCCTCCGCTGTCCCGGGGTTTTTTAAAATGCTGGGGGTGGGAAGAAAAGCCCTTGTGTCCCCCCCCCCAGCCTTCAGAAGAGGTCGGGGGACAGAGACCTGGTCTGAAGGCGGTTTCCATAGGAACGCATTAATTGATTTTCAATGCATTCCTATGGGAAACCGTACATCGCAAGACGAAAAACTCGCAAGACGAAGAGACTTGCGGAACGAATTAATTTCGTCTTGCGAGGCACCACTGTATTTACCATGGCTCCTTACTTTGAGCAACTCATCACTCAGTGCTGGTTTGACTGCTGCAGAATGTCCAGAAGCCAGCATGGATGTGTAGGACAGCTGACACACCTTAATTTTTTTATTATTTTTTGAGAAGATAAATGGTAGCTGTTAATCATGTTCTATTCTCCTGGACAGATGGTCCACCTTGATAGGTGAGTTTTTCAGGAAGCTGGATGAGCATCTTAATTTCTCAAGGCGTCAACCAACCTTGAGTGCCTTTGAAGTAGGTTTTTAAAAATCAGATATTACTTAGGTTTGGCCCTCAGACCAGCCTTCAGATCAGCTGGGAACAGGCTGAAGAATATGGTGGTGGAGAAATACATGTTTTTCATAGCCAGGAAAGAACCTGCTCTCCATTTGGGTAAATTGATTATTTGTAATTATGGCTGATGCATCCTAATATTTCTAACAAAGGAAGTATTATTTCTGGACCTGGTCTCATTTCTTAAGGCAAATTTATGCTTGATTTGGCCAATTAGGATCCTTAAAAAAAAAAAGGAGGAACAGCCCATTAAAGGAAAAACCTAGAGCATCAGCTGCAGTTAACTCATTGTCTGATTAAACAGCTTTTCTGTATTTTGAATTGACCAAGTTTCCTTTAACATCTTGAGCTTGCACAGAGGGAGCCAAAGATTCAGAATGCAGCCAGCTTACTCACCGTGACTGATGGCCTTGTAATGAATTCAGCTAATAAGCACCAAATCTGATACTGTCAAATAGGATTAACAGCCACGTTAGCTAGCTTGAACTGTTTCTGAAAGCCAAACCGATAAGGGTCAGTGGGTTTCTTTTGGGATCGTGAATGGCCTGGTGTTGTCACTTTTACTCTGCAGTGGTCTTCCAGGTTGTTCTTTTCTTTCTGGTGGCCATCTTGCCTAGTCGGAATTAGTGTTCAAACTGTTCTCATTCCTGCTACCATCCCCCTTTGAATTTGGAACATTCATAGGCTGAGAAAACGGAATATTCTGCAAATTATCAGAGCTGCTAGAGTCTTTGTGAACTCTACATTATGTCACTTCAATTCTGCTGTTTGCTTTAATCCTTGTTCTCTAAAATGTCAACACAAACTTGGTGAGAGGGCGTACTGACTACTAGATAGGGATGCACAGTAGTGTTGTCTTTTTTCCTTTTTTGTGGGTGGGGTGTTGCATTTCCTTCTTGGACTTGATACAGTAATATCATTTGCCCTCACTCATTCCATGTTAGCCTTGTCTCTCCCATTCATTTCCCCCCACTGTCAAAATGCAACCTGCAAGCTTCTTGGATCAGGGACTTACATTTTGCTTAGGTTGTAAAGCACTATGTACAGTGGTGGACACACCTACGTGAATTTATGTGGGATTATGTGCTCTCATGCTTTTTTCAATGATCTCTTTTTAAATAAAGAAAAAGAAAAAGCCTACTTGCCAGCTGCTTTGAGTGTTTAGAATTAATTTAGATTAGAGTGTTTAGGTCCATTATTAGTAATGGCATGTTCATTTATTAGAATCATTGATGGCCATACTCCCCCCCCCCTGAATCCTAATACTTCAAACATCCCTTTCAGTATGAGTCTGACCCAGATGCTCACTCAGCTGTGGGGTTAGAACTCGTGTAGTGTAGCAGCCTACAGAGATATCTATATATCTATATAGAGACACATTTTGCTGAACTTGTACTGCAACTTGCCACATAGGTGATGTTTGGGGAGACAAAAGGGAGGGAACATGTATTATATACTTATTTATCTTTAATCTCCCAGGAAAATGTACACTGATCAAAGGGGTGGGGGAATCACAGGAGTTGAAATTGTGACACACAGAACACCAGGCGGTTCAAAAGACACAGGAGTAACGGTCTTTGGAGCTGCTTCTCACGTTACACCAGGATAAATACCATAGTTCAAAATATCTGTGTTTGGATTGTGTTAATGGCATATTAACATATTTTTACCTCTTTTTTACCTTTTTAATAGCATATTTAGATTTAAATTGCCAGCAATTGTCAGCAAAATACAGGGAAGCATAGGACTTGTCATTTTAAGATTAGCCTTTGAAAAGTGGCAGATTAAGCATACATTTACCAGGCACAGTGTATTCAAAGCTTGCATATATGTTGGATTTGGTAGTCCATGATGAAATACAAAAAGTTAGATGAAACATATCCCTAAAGCTTTTTATTAATTATTATTATTATTTATTGTATTTTATGCCTGCCCTTCACCAGAAGGTTCCAGGGCAGGTTACAGATGATAAAAACACAATTAAAACAGTAAAAACCACACCCACCTATAAACCGCAAATCAGTAATTCATACAACACGTTACAGAGAAGCCACCTAAATCAGTTTTTCAATTTATAAAGGCCAGGGTAAAGAGCTGTGTCTTCAGCTACCAACTGCTTAATCAACCAGATAACTGGTCAGCTATTTTATTGGAAAGTGCAAATCTGCCTTTTCAACTGCTTTCTCGTGTACTGCTTTTTTTAATTAAAAAAAGTGGTTCAGCGCTCTATTTACTTTTACAGTTCAGCATCTACTTTTTACTATAAATTTAGCATTTTCGATGCAAGATTTATGTTTGATGGGAAGTAGAGAGAAATAAACTTGTGAATTGAATCTAGTAATACAGTTCAATTCTTTGTCAGCAGAGTTTTCCCCTTTTTTAAAGGCTGTCTTGCTTGAAGGTAATCGGAAGTCTTGTTTCTTTTGACTGATTTCAGGTGGATGCTCTCCGGTTACGTCTAGAAGAGAAAGAGACCATGTTGAATAAAAAGACTAAGCAAATTCAGGAGATGGCTGAAGAGAAAGGAACTCAAGCTGGAGAGATTCATGATCTCAAAGATATGCTGGATGTGAAAGAACGCAAGGTTAATGTTCTTCAGAAAAAGGTAGGCCAGCCAGGTATACAAAGTTCTGCGCTCCAACTCTTTTTGTCCGAAAGTGGTAATACCGATAGCTACAAAAGTCGCATTTAGTGAGGATTGTGGTTCAGCGTTCTGTTGCAGTGGGAGGATTGGTAATGATAAACCTGAACAGAGTTTTATAATTAGCAGAAAAGCTAGACTGTGTTGCTCAAAAGATCTTTCACCGTGTTTCTAATGCTACATTAGTCTTTGCAATGACTGGAATGTTAAATCTCATATGTACTCTCTTGTATAGCGAGTGGTGGAGTCTGCATAAGTTCCTGGAATGGCTGTGTGATTGATACGAACAAATAATATGATAGTCAGGGAAGTGACCGTTGGTGATTAAGCCTGTACGTCATATGCTTGTGCCATCACACACCTGGGTTCTGTAGCTATGCAGAACAATATCTGGCTATATTCTAGATCTTTAGCTATGGAAGTGTTGGCCCATAACTCCTATTCTTGAGCCTCCCCTTCAATCTGGATGTGCCTGAAGGGGCAGGGTGAATACTTTCCTGCTCAGATCTGTCATAACCACCATGACTGGAGCAAATTTGAGAAGGTTGGTTTCTTTTTCCTCCTGGAAAAACGAGTCCTCATTATTAAGAATGCCTTTAGTTTACTCTCATTTCAAAATAGATTGGCTTTACCTAACATTTTTCTTTTTTGATAACTTAAGTTTCACACACCACAAATGATGACAATCAGTGCCGCCATCTGGGCGAGGAGCACAAGTAGACTCATTCATGTGTGGCCAGAAGTTTGCATAACAGTAATATGACCCTTCCCAACTTGAGGCCTTCCTTCCGTTTTAGACTGGAACTCCCAGCAGCTCAGTATGGCAGCCTTTTGTGTGTGACTCGGAACTTTTGGTGTGCACCTTGAAGGGGTGGCAGTGGACTTTTCTGAGCCCTTGTAGAGAAGCACCTCTAATATTTAGAGTGGTGCAAAGCTGCTTGTAGGATGCATTCCCACAGTTGCTCGTGAATTTCTATGTCCATAGGCTGCTATTGACATAGGGTGCCATGCTTGTAAGGAACATCAATGGAAGCATTGGGCCAGATCAAATTGCATGCTGCCTCATAGAAGATGCTCTGTAGGAATGTATGATTTGGAGTGTCCCAAGGCTTTTTGTGGAGTGAGCATCTTTAGCTCAATACAGGCAGAACTTTGGAGAAGTCACCCGTCTATCTTTATTCAATTTAATTACAAGACAGTTACAAAATGGCAACATTAAAAATGCTTAAACCCATCAATTTTCCATATTAATCCACACACAACATTCTTGCAGTAAAAGCAATTTTAAAGAAGTTTTTATTGCAATTTTTGAACAATAAAATTAAAGTAATAGGTGAATGGCATCTACGCCTGGTGACATGTCAGTTTTTAATCTGTCTATAAGACCTGGAAGATTACTTTATATATATATATATAGAGAGAGAGAGAGAGAGAGAGATTTGATTCCATGCAGTTTGCACTAGTCAAAGTTAAAATGATCATTCTCTTCGCAGAAAAGAGCTCGGAATGGTCTTTAATATTCGTAATTCAGTGGACAGTGTAATATATGTGCTTTTAAAGGTTCAGTGCTTGTTATACTAGGATTGATGTCTCCCCCCTCACCCACCCTCTCTCCCAGCACACATAAACACTTATGTGTTTTTCAGCTTAATTTCCTGTATAAGATAAATTAAATGGGACAATAGTAGCTGGCTGGACATTCCTTGCATGAAATTAGCATAAAAGCCATCCTCTCAAGGGTTCCCCTGGGGTTTCATGTTACAGTGTATTTCTTGACTTTGTAACAAGTTACTGACTTGGAAAATGTAATTGAATGTTTGAATTAAAGCCTCTTTGAGAACCTGTGTTAAAGTTGTACAGCTTCCTGCTTGACTGACTTGCTGCTGCAGATGCCAGGATCAGTCCCTTTCTATCTGGCTCCAAAGACACTTCAAATTAATTTTTATTCTCCCTTGGCAATATCTGTAATGTAGGCCATCTGATTAAAGATGTACAGCCTAAAGTAAATCTTGTTGAATTCACTGTAACTTAGTAACATGTGCATGTAGCTACAAATTAGCTACAAGATGGTTAACTATTAACCTATTTTAATTAATAAATAAAATACTGCAGTATTTTATCAGGCTTAACTGCCACACTTACATAACACACTGTGTTTACTGAAATACTGTTCATGGTGCTCTTGAAGCTGCAAGGATGATACTTGATGAGTTTGCAGTTGGTGTGTGTGCTGCAACCAGAGCAGATATTCATATAAACTCTTGAACGCTTGATGCAGAGATGTGGAAGAATGGAAATGATTCGTAGTATAGATTAGAAGGGTAAATGCAATTTTATTAGCATATTTCCTTACGATACTGTATGTACAGATTTCTGCTAGGGATGCCTACTTCCGAATTTTCCCGATCAATTTTCCAATTCGGCATATTGACTGGGCACTTCTAGCAAGGAATAGAATGCTGTGCAATCTTTCTAAAAACATGTTGCCCAACTGTTTCGTGTTAATCTGATTCTTTAATTGATCTTGCTTTATTTAAGATTGAGAATCTTCAGGAACAGTTAAGAGACAAGGAGAAACAGATGAGCAGTTTGAAAGAAAGGGTAAAATCCCTGCAGGCTGATACCACCAACACCGATACTGCCTTGACCACACTGGAGGAAGCACTTGCGGAGAAGGTGAATATGAAAGACAACCTTGCCTAAACCCTGCCCCCCCCCCCCCAAGCCACAACAATGTATTCTCCTTGTGAAGAGTTTGTCCTATCTCAGGCAGGAAGATCCCACTTTCATTGGATGCTATCAGTTTAGCTTAATCAGGCGCTGCAGTTTAAAACACTTCCGATTGCATTAAGTCAGGCACATGCTGACTTAAAATCTTCTGAAAACTGTTCAACTCTGAGCTTGGATATACGGCTTGAGAAATACAGTGGTACCTCAGGTTAAGTACTTAATTGGTTCCAGAGGTCCGTACTTAACCTGAAACTGTTCTTAACCTGAAGCACCACTTTAGCTAATGGGGCCTCCTGCTGCTGCCGCACTGCTGGAGTACAATTTCTGTTCTTATCCTGAAACAATGTTCTTAACCTGAAGCACTATTTCTGGGTTAGCAGAGTGTGTAACCTGAAGCGTATGTAACCTGAAGCGTATGTAACCCGAGGTACCACTGTATATGAATTAGATAAGGAAGCTGGAAATGACTTCTAACCTGTGACGCTATGATAGTTGTGCAGCTCATCCGAGAGATGCTGTTTCTGTGTCATTTTTGAGATTCCTAATAATAATAATAATAATAATAATAATAATAATAATAATAATAATTTATTTGTATCCCGCCCTCCCCAGCTGAGGCCAGGCTCAGAGTAGCTAACATCATAAAAAGAACACAATATGCATAAAAACAGACATCAGTTAATTAAAATACATCTTAAAATTAATTCAGACAAGTTAAAATCTGGGCAGGTGGCAATTATCAGGTTGGAATTGAGAGTGGTTAGTTTCTGGCTGTAGTTCAGAATTAAACTGTAAGCTTGGTCCAGTGCTGCATTTGTTTATTGTAAATAATACAGCATGACAGCTTTATATTTTCAATCACTGTATGGCAACATTTACCTCATAGTCACTTAGAGTGCTGGGTGGTGAAGTGATATTTTGCTGTGTGTTGAGTAACTTGTGTTTGTGAGCATCTCCTGGGCATAGTAAAATTACCCTTGCCACCTAGGAGGACACCACAGATCACAGGATTTCGGCATTGGTAGTCACCCCAAAATGAATTTACAAGTTTGCTTCTGAATTTAATCAGAGATTCTGTGTTTCAAAATGTCTTGCCTCTAATGTCTTTCCGTATTTGTAGATTGCATTTTTGATTCTGGTCTATTTTATTTCTGATTAACAGCCCATATAGATTAGTGCAGCCGATGGGGTCCCTTCAGATGTTGCTGGTCTGTAGCTCTCATCATCCCTGACTATTAGCTACTCTGCCTGGGGCTGATGAGGGCTGGAGTCCAACAATATCTGGAGGATACTGTGTTGGCTACCCTGGCACTAGTGTCATCCTGGTGCAGCAATTGCACAAACTGCTTTATTTGGTGCTCTGCATAAGTTCTATTGGGAGGGGGACAGTGATGACAAGGGATCTGTTTAGCTTTATACTGCATTCTTGTGAAAACTACGTCAGAAGCAGCATTTCTGCTCTCTCACTTCTTCAGTTTCTATGAATGTGTTGTCTTTGTGACAGGATTGGTGTGGATCTTGTTCTACCAGGGAAACGATTTAGTGAAGACCTATCATGTGTTTAATTTGTATAACAACTATGTGAGTGAAAGGTTACAGAAATTTATTTAAGTCTGCAACACTATGTACCCTTGGGAACAAGACTCATTTGAACTCAGTGGGGCTTGTGTCGATGAGTAAACATGCATAGACCTTCTCAGAATTAAGCATTTGTCCAGCCAAATGGATTTCTTTTGACAGAGTGCTCGTGTTTTTGTCAGGAACGTACAATTGAGCGCCTGAAGGAGCAGCGCGACAGAGATGAGCGAGAAAAACAGGAGGAGATTGACAACTATAAAAAAGATGTTAAAGACCTGAAAGAGAAAGTCAGCGCCTTGCAAGGAGATCTTTCTGAGAAAGAGGTTAACCAATATATATTATAGGCATATAAAGTAAAGAATCTTCGTGTTAAGAAGGGTAGTTTTCTTGATTCTCTCAGCAATTTTATCCACTGAAAACTGAAATGTACAGCACAGACATTCAAATGAATATGCATGGAAAATCAGATGAACTTTAATATTGCTGATACCTGGAATGTGTTTGTTGATATTGGTGAAAACTGAAATTTACGGCTTATTTTCAACATTTGACATTATCTTATTGCCTGGATTGGTCGCTAGACATAGACATCAATGGATTCTGAACCATTGAAAAATTTAATGTAGCTGGGATTGAGCAGAAGTGTTCCCATCAGCATGAAAGGGAAATTGGGGATATTGGGAAATAGAACAGTGGGGGAAAACCTGAAACAGGTGATTGATGAGTGCAGATGCTCAGTGGGGGCACATTTGCAAGCATTGCCATGCTGACTGCTGCTGGGGTATGTGTGTGTGTACATGCTGGAATTTTGAATAGAAACACTTCACACTATAACATTTTGTTGCAGGACCCTACTTGTCATTGACACATGAATGCTGCTTCTGGTCTTCCCATGCTGATATTTATAAATCCAAAATCAAAAACGAAGCATGAGGGAGCTACATTGCCAACTTGGGTTAACTCAGAGATATGTACAAGTGTGTGTGTGTGTGTGTGTGTGTGTGTGTGTGTGTAGATATGCAGATAGATAGATATGCATGCAGATAAATATATAAATATGAATATAAATATAAATATACACATCCAAAAGAGACCCATCTAGTAGCATGGAACACTGAGAATTGGGAGGGGGGTGAATAATTGGGGAAAACTAACAGCTGAATAGGAGGGAGAATAGATTGGAGTAGTTGAAACAGGAGAACAGAGATACAAACCAATGATTGGGAGTGATGGGAGTTACAGTCCAACAGCAACTGGAGGGCCACGGGTTTCCTATCCCTGAACTACAGCAGTCTAGGAAGTGGCTGTAGGCTGCAATTGCACTTTTATTCAATTGAGAGAAGAAAAAAAGTCAGATTTTATGAGCTGGTAGTGGGGGAACAGTGAAGCTGAATTTGGGTGGGGAATGAGAGGGGAATGTTGTGATAAGTGAGTGAACAAAGCACAGCTATTCCATAGTAAATGGGTGGTGTGAAAGTAGTCTTTCTGTTTTATGCCCATAGACATTAATGGCAAAATTTAATATATAACTGGGATTGGGCATTAGTGTGTCCCTTTCCCCATCCCCAAAAATAATAACCCAAATGGAGGGGGGGAATGAAAGCAGGCCAGTGATTTCTGGACATGCTCAGTGGGCACAGAATGCTAACTGACTGTTGGGGAGGAGGAATGGAATAGTAATAGCTGGACTCCTGAACAGAAGCACTGAAAGGGTGGAAGGGCTGAAGAGTCTTGTGGTGCCTTAAAGGGGTGGAATAAGAGTCCAGTTCAACAGATCATCATGTGCTTTTACTCTTGGCATATGGATTAAAGAAAATAATAATGCAGTCAGGTGGAAATGAAATCTTGTTATATAAAATGGAAATGGAAAAAATAAACTCTGGCAAGTGTGTTAAAAAATCAATATATATACTTCATTGGTTTCTAAGGGCCCCAAGACTCCTTGTTGTTTTCAGCATAGCTGAAAACATTCAGCATAGCTATCCCTTTTGGCACTGAGCTCAGTGACAGTGTGAAGTTAATAGCTGATTGTTTTTCTTCAAATAAGACATAATTTCATCTAACACATTTAGAAGTACTCTCTTCCATTGAAAAAAGAGGTTTTCATATATGATGCTTATAAGCCTCTAAAGAAATGTATTGTTCCAGAGCAGAAAACAAAATGTAATTGATATATAGATTGGGAACAAAATATTGGTGCTAGAGCTGAAAAGTATAGTTTTGTTCTTCATGCTGCTGCATGTGTTACCTTTGTTGTAGACTTCATTACTGGATTTGAAGGAGCATGCATCATCTTTAGCATCATCAGGACTGAAGAAAGACTCTAGGTTAAAGACATTAGAAATTGCCTTGGAACAGAAAAAGGAAGAATGCCTGAAACTAGACTCTCAGCTGAAAAAGGTAAACACTAGAAACCTTTCTCCTTTCAAATGGAAATTGCTGGTCCTTCTCAGACTTACCCTTCTTTTTTGCCATTCCCTGCAAATTCCCTCCTGCAAATTTTAGATAATAAATTATTACTTTGGGATCAACAAAGCATTGTCGTTCAAAAAAAGTGTGTAGGACGATTGCATTAGTGATTGGGGTTCATTTCCAGCCACTTTTGCACACAGCAAGAAAGTGACAATAGAGAATACATGTGTGACTCATGTCCTTTTTCCATGCTTTTGGGCATAATATGACCTAGCTCACACATTTTCCCTTGATGAGATAAAGAGAGATGCCAGTTCTCTCACACATCATATCCAGAAGTTTGTATCTTCCTCTCCCTGTTTCCTTGTATCATGCAAAGCAATACAGAAAGTAAATAGACTGATAAAGCTATTCTGTCAGCAAAATTCTAATAACTAGGAAAACATTAGTTATTTGAATGGATGCAAAGGCATTTATAAACACAGCTAGTTCATAAAGTGTTGAGATGGGGAGGGGCTAAAATTCTACTGCAAAAGATCATCTTAACAGGCATCAAAGTATAAAACAGGTAAACTTCATAAACTAAGGAGATGAGAGTTGTGGAATAAGGGAATGCATTCACATTGTAATTAAGTTAGGAAAAATGCAGCTGAAATAACCATTAATTGGAGAAGAAGCATAGTGGAAGAGTAATCTTAATTAATAGAAAATATTTAATATTCATTTTTGCAGCTACTCACTGTGGAGATGCTTTTAAATATTTGTTTTCCATTCCACAAGTCTTAGAATAAGTTTCATCTGAGATTTGTCTTTGGTTCTTAGTCCTGTTGTAAATCCTGTTTTAGTTTTTTAGTTTTTGAAGCATTTCCCATGCCTGGGCCTATTCCAGTTGCTTTAACAAAAAGAGATGCAAATAACCTGCTGGAGCTCTTCATGTAAATATTCCTGGTCTGAAATGCAAACCTTTCCCCCGCTTTTGGCTACATGAAATAATTAATTACCATCAGAGAGGAACAGAGATCAGCCTGATTCTTTCCACCTGCCAGAGTCTTCCAGCAACTAAGTCTGCCTCACTTCCCACCAACCAGTAGAATGCCATTTTAAATGCCAGGGCACAGTGATTGTGAGAAGGAAAGAGACTGATTTGGCTCTGCCAATGGATCAAAAACTTTGACTGTGCCCAGCCAGTAAATCTCAAATCTTTATGCACTAGCCATTTGGAGAGCGTTTGAGGGAAGATAGATTTCAGCCATTTGCTGGAATTGTCTTGGAGCCATTAGCAATAGTGATTGAGTTTCTCTTGGCCTGCTGTGATTCCCACAAAGTAAGCCACAAAGCTTTCAGATGAAATTGTCAAGACAAGAATCTAAACTTCTGGAGATACTCAAACAAAAGCAAATGAAGCTGGCAGCAGTTATGGAAAGAAGAAACCCTCTAAAAAGGAGAAGCACCAGCAGATAAACTATGAAGAGTTTCAACATATCATCTTACAGTAGAATTGTGGGTGGTTGTAGTTGTTTTTTGCATTACATTGTAAGCTTTCACATGGTGGGAGGAAAACAGATTTATAAAGCTTGCATGTTGGGGATAAATTTCTAGCCTGGTCTTCTCACTCACTAACTTTGTACAGTCAGCATTCAGAGCTACTGATCATGTGTGTTACCTTTCATTGACAGATTAGCTGTTACATTTTATATTTATAGTGCGGAGAATACGTACCCAGTACTAGATAGAGCACATGCAAGAGTTCCTAGATTCAATCCTTAGTATTCCCAGGTTTGGCTGCAATCCTGGAAAGCTACTTTCCTTCATTGTAGACTGAGATACATGGACCAATAACCTCACTCAAGATGTTCAACTTTCTGTGTTGTAGGAAAATTAATGTTCCACTATAACATTTGACGTATGTCACGAGAGTGTTGCTCCCAGTGTATAGCTGCACTAGGTTTGCCTGGTCAATGAACCCTGTTGCTCTGTACGTTAAACATTGATATGTGTATATGTTCTAAATACAGCTGTTGCAACATTGAAATATTCATACATTCAGATACTGAGTAGATCCATCAAGTTATCTTTTACAGCATTTTTGAGGTATAGTACACACACATATTTAGGTTGCTGAACTTATTCAGCAGAGCTGGCATTTTTAAATTGGGGGGGGGACAAGCCCATCAGGAGGTGAAACCTTTCATCCTATATTTATTTAAATGTTCAATAAAATCATAGCTCGGTGCTGCCTTAGTCAGCTTAAGGCTTTTTTTTCTAAGGAGCTTTCCAGCTGTTAATTGGTTTAAGTATGTAATGTATTGTACAGCCAATGGTTATCCAGACTTCTGCTCACTACCCGAAAGAGACGTATCCAAAGACTGAAGCAGAAAAATCCATTAAAGGGAAAATAAAGACTGGATTTGGTTAAAATCTCTACTTCAGATTAAATCCTAAATCTACAATCAGCTCCTTTTCTCCTACGATGAATGTCTCTACATCTTTCTGTAGATTGTTTGTGTTACATTTTTCTCTCTCTCTTGCACTGTTCCTTTCCCCAATTCTTCCCCTCTTTTCCTGTCTTTCTCCTTAGCATCCTGAAGTCTTATTGAGTCACCCATCCAAGCCAGTAAGTGTTATGACAAACTGGAAGGCCATAGCCAACCCCATTTGATTGTGCCGTTTCTGCATGTGTAGTCTCTTGTGTCTTTGTATTCTGTTCCCAGGAGGCAGTGAAAAATTTCAAGGCTGTCATGCCTATGTCAGACAATGGATGTGGACTTTCCTTGTTGCTTTGTTCTAGTTTTTTTTATTTAATCAGCTTATAGTTCTGCTACCTTTCTGCTTCTATGCTTAGTTGCTTTTCTAATCTGTATTTCTCAGATCCTATTTTTTATATGTGAAGTATAGGAGTGCTGTAACAAATTTGAAGGTGGTAGACTCTACTTCATTGAAGGTTTTTAAACAGAGGATCTGTCAGGGATTCTTCAGCTGTGATTCCTGCATTGCAGGGTATTGGAATAGATGACCTTTGGGGTCCTTCCCAATCCTACAATTCTACGTTTCTATGAAATAATTCCAAAATCCTTGGGAGTGTATATTGCAGATCAGGAAAGGTACCATGAGGATGCTGGCATGCTTAATGAGCAGAGTTAAAGAAGCTATCAGAGGCAAGAAGAGTTCCTTCAAGAATTGGAAGCCTTGCCCTAATGAAGAGAACAAAGGAACACAAACTTTGGCAAAATAAATGTGGGCAGACAGTAAGGGATGCTAAAAAAGAATTTGCACAGCTCAGTGCTAAAAAGACTAAGATCAACAACAACAGGTTCTTTCAATATATTGGTAGCAGGAAACCATCTAGGGAGGAAGTTGGACTCTTGGATGTGTGCTAAAGGAGGTTAAGGAGATTGCTGAGAAGCTGAATTAATTATTTTTACCTGTCCTCACAGGGTAAGATATAGTGCAGATCCCAGTACCTGAACTAACTTTTGCAGGAAGGGAGTCTGAGGAACTGAGGCAGATAGTGATATATGATATTAAGTTCTAGATTTAATATACAAAATGAAAACTGACACATTGCTGGTTCTGGAGGGCATCCAGCTGAGAATTCAACTCAAATGTGAAAATGGTAATCCTATAACAAAAATATGCTGTCCCTCTGACCAGCCTTCTGCATACCTGAGGACTGGAAAGTTGCCAGTGCAACACTAGTTGTTAAAAAGGAATTCAGGGAGGATCCTGGAAATTACAGACCAATAGGCTTAACTTTTTTGATGGGAAAACATGTGGAAAGTATTGTTAAAGATAAAATAACCAAGCATATAGAAGAACAAGCCTTGCTGAAGCATAGGCAGCATGGTTTCTGCAAGGGCAAGTCTGGTTTCATAAACCTACCTTTAAGAGTGTCAGTAAGAATATAGATAGAGGTGATCCAGTTGACATAACGTACTTGGACTTTCAAAAAGCATTCAACAAGGTAACTCAGCCAAGGCTTCTGTGTAAATGTAACAGTCATGGAATACAATGAGAGGTCCTGTTGTGGATCAGGAACTGGTTAAGTAACAGAATAAAAGAGAGAAGGAATAAATGGACAGTTCTCTGAATGGAGTGATGTAGAAAGTGGAGCCCAAAAGAATCAGTACTGAGACTTTAGGGGTAAACAGCGAGGTGGCCGAGCTTGTTGACAATACTGAATTGTTCAGTTGTTAAAACAAAAAGAGATTGTGAAGAGCTCCTGAAGGACCTCTCCAAATTGAGTGGGCAGTAAAATGGCAAATGCAGTTCACTGTAAACAATGGTAGAGTGGTGTATGCCAGGGTGAAAGAAAATCTTAATTTCATATATACACTCATGGGGTCTAAACTGACAGTAACTGACCAAGAATGTGACCTTTGGATCGTTGTGGATAACTCTAAGTAGATGTTGACTCAGTGTGTGACAGCTGTGAGAATGGCAAAGGGGGAAGTAGGGGAAGGCGCAAGTGGGCAAGTTGATATTCATTTCCATTGAGAGCAAAATTTATACATTAAAGAGGAAAAGGATAAGAGAAGAGAAACTCTGTGTAGATAAAAACAATACATGGAACAACTACTATTTTCCTCCTTGAACTTTAGATTATGGAAAGAAAATCACGCACATTTAATTTATATTTTCCTTTCAATAATAAGTAATTTGCAACAGATGTGAACAGACTTCAGGCTAGTGAAATCTACTTTGGAATTTTTTTAATGTACAGCTTCACAGCACCCCAAAGAAATTCCACAGCCACTGTCCCCCGCCCCAAGAGAAGTCAATAAATGCATGAGCTAGTAGCAAAAGATGTGGGTTCGCATCTGTGATCAGTGATGAACGTAACTTGGTGACCTTGGGCCAGTCAGTGCCAGGGCCTAGCCTCCCCAAGACAGCGATCATGTCCAAAGATAGTCCTGTCCTCTAATGCCTGAAGCTTGCAAAACTGGCAAGTACTACTTCCAACTTTTTCCTGCTGTGAAAAAGTATCGAAACTCTGCTCTCCTCCCACTATCCTGCTCCACTGCATCATTTCTTAGGATCATGGGGAAGTGACAGATTGGGACAGGAGGCCTTCCTATATTTTTTATTTTATTTTATCAGGTAGGTCATGAGTAGCAACAAAGGGTCTGGGGCTCAGTGGAGTGAGTTGCCTGACTGAGGTGTTGATTGCACATAGAGAGAAATGTTGATTAACAACAAGAAGGCTAGAAGTGGGAAAGGATGCCTGTCCCTCCCCGTTAAGCCTGTGCATTTGAGATGATTCTTGGAATGTGCCCTGGTAAAGTTCCTAGCAAGAACATCTCAGTCATTGGGGCTAGATAGAGAAGTAAGAAGGTAAGAGATTGCAGGGTTAGCATGTTCTTCACAAGCTGACTGGTCAGAGTTGGATACAAGATGGTGGACTAGATGGACCTTTGGTTTGATATAGCAGGACTCTTGTGTCGTGTCTTGGGAACAGAATGTTTTCTATTACAAATGTGAATATGGATACAAAGAATAACTCTTGGGATACTTTTTTGCGCAGGCTCATGAAGCAACATTGGAGGCTAGGGCCAGTCCAGAGATGAGTGACCGATTTCAGCAATTGGAAAGAGATGTGGCTCGCTACCGGGAAGAATCCAGTAAGGCTCAAGCTGAACTGGATCGTCTGCTAGAAATCCTGAAAGAGATGGAGAATGAGAAGAATGATAAAGACAAGAAGATAGCAGAACTAGAAAGGTGAGAAGGGATGGGGAGAGAAGCCCGTTATTAGTTTTTCAACTTGCTGCCATTCAAAATAGGGCATTGCGGGAGTTTCTAAAAGTTAGTTAAGGGTTTTTGCTTTTTCCCCTGCCTATTTCAAAAGGTATGCTGATGTTTCTGGGATCTCTTTTAAATAGTAGGAGCAAAAGTGCAATTGTAGGAAACGATGGTAGCTCAGTGAAGCTGGCTTTTGTTTCATGTACTGTACATGCATACTTGAACTGACAAATTTATATGATTTACTATAGTACAAGTACCACAGATAATACTAAGCATTTTTAATATGCAACTTGATGTGAGGACTAATTCTGCCTATATGAGAACATGTTCTGCAGCCATATGAAATTAAACAGGAGAATGCCACTTAGTAGCTTTGAAACAGGATTTCCACTTCTTATATTGTTATTACATATTTATTTACACCTCTCCTTTTTCCCTGACAAAGACTCAAGGCATCTTACAGCTAAAAATGCTCTTCTTGGTAATACTTTCTTAGTGATGTGGTTTCCCCAAGCCCATCTTTTTCTGTGGATAGAAATTAGGTAGGACTTAATATCCCCACTAGATTTGAACAGCTAGCAGTTGGGTCACTGGAGAAGTCATGGGAACAACACCTTAGATGGAAAATGGAACAAAACTATTAGCCATTTATTAGGCTTTTAAAATTTATCCTGAACTGCAGTCGTAAACTCTTAGTCCGTTCTAAAACAGTGACATATAAGGATTATTTACAGTTTGACCAACAGTTGCCTTGAAAGGTACAATATGGAGGTTCATTTCTTGGCGGTGCACTAAGTTTTCCTCTTTTGCCGGAATGGGTTTCCTTAACATTATTTCATATGGATTCAACTGCATTTTGTCAAGTGCCAGGAAAATCACATAGATTAAGACCACCACCTGAGTAGAATTTTCCTTGGTGAATATATTAATTCTTGAAACGCAGTAGCTGCTTGGCGTTCCCTCATTGCCCAAAATTTGTTTATCTGACTTAATATTTCAATGTTGAGTTAGATGTTGAATGTGTTTAATAGTTATGGGCGGCATTTGTATAAAGAAATCTACTCAGAACTCCAGAGAATATAATTAAGAGAATTTATTGTAGGGAGAATTTGCACATCTGTAAATACTTGGTGTTACTGCTTCACATTTTTATCATCTTTGATATGCAGAATCTACTCAAAGGTGCCAAAACAATATTCTCAATTCATTAGGAACACACAGATAATTAAGTTGCATGAAGCCTCACAGTTGGATTACCAGTTCAAGTTTGTTACCTTGGGTGGTATCTATTCCTGTTTCATTGAAACAGTAGAGAGCTTTGAAAATCAATATTCATTATTTTTCAATGAAACTTTGAACATTTCCATGAATGCTGTTCTGTTGGCCACAAGGGGAAAATATGTCATTTCCTTTATTTTTGAATTCCAAAATGTCTGTTAGGACAGTTGAAATAGAATTGCAGAAGTTTTACATAATATTCTTGAAATTTAATTTGTCAGTCTTATATAGATATCCCCCAAATTTAACTTTCTCCACCAGTATTTGATTTTGGTCCAATTTTGCATTTCTGTGTATCCTACCAATATGCATGTTTGGATGTTCCTTCAACCTCAAAATCTGCAGAATTCTCTATCACTGTTGAAAATATTGTTACCTTCCTTATCATAGAGGTTTAAAACCTTGGAATAATCTTTTGAGTTTTTCCTGTCCTCTTTTTACATTTAAAATGTTTCTAAATCCCACCATCTTTCTTTTCAACTTCTTCCAAGGTCAGTCATTATGGAGAGCTTTGTTAGTCTTCTCTCAGAATTTCTGCTGTACTATAACTGTAAATGGATTGTTCATTTTTCTGAGTGTAACCTACAGTCTTGAAGGATGAATTTTCAATAGAGTTTATTACTCTCCAGTTGAAACTGAAGATAATATGGTTCCATTTCAAATTGGAGGAAACATGTACAGTATTTGAGATCTTCCTTTGTTACCTCATTCTTCCAATCTGTAAGAGATAACAAGAAAAATCACATTTTTAAAGCATAGTTGATCATTCTGAAACAAGTTTTTAATTTGTACAGGAGACACCACTAGATTAACTAACTGGCTGAGACACACCACATTTGTAGCATTAGCTTCCCCTGCAGCTTGTACTTATACACCTACTACCTTACCATAGGGAAGTTGGCTGATAAAAATAGCTTTTCAAGCTGGAGCCAGACTAGCGACTGCCTCTATACCAGGGTGCCACTCCATAAATGAGAGAAAAAGAAGAAATGAGTTGATGATGTTATCAATGAGTTCTTCCATAACTGCTTCCTAGAAATAAAAGAAAATATAGTTTATGGCAAAAAGAGTGATGGAAGCACTACATTGAAAGAGTGATGAAGGACCTACATTGGCTCCCAGTACATTTCCGGGCACAATTGAAGGTGACCCGGAAACTACAACTAATACAGAATGCGGCAGCTAGACTGGTGACTGGGAGCGGCTGCTGAGACCACATAACACCGGTCTTGAAAGAGCTACACTGGCTCCCAGTATGTTTCTGAGCACAATTCAAAGTGTTGGTCTGAGCTTTAAAACCCTAAACGGCCTTGGCCCAGAATACCTGAAGGAGCATCTCCGCCCCCATCATTCTGCCCGGACACTGAGGTCCAGCGCAGAGGGCCTTCTGGTGGTTCCCTCCCTGCAAAAAGTGAAGTTACAGGGAACCAGGCAGAGGGCCTACTCGGTAGTGGCACCTGCCCTGTGGAACACCCTCTCATCAGATGTCAAAGAAATAAACAACTATCAGACTTTTAGAAGACATCTGAAGGCAGCCCTGTTTAAGGAAGATTTTAATTTTTGATGAATCATTGTATTCTAATATTCTGCTGGAAGGCGCCCAAAGTGGCTGGGGAAGCCCAGCCAGATGGGCGGGGTATAAATAATAAATTATTATTATTTATTATACACCACGCCGTGCAATGTGCTGATCTCATCACCACTCAATATTAAGGGAGCCTGGGCCCCTCCTTAAGAACTTCAAGGCCCCCAAAGTGCCTGCAATCCTTCAAGTGTTCCACTATGTTCAATGGGACTACTCCCTGTTCAATGTGTTTAGGATTGCATCATCAGAGGCTGGTTCTTAGCTCTTTTTGAACAGGTGAAAACACTTCAATAGATTAAGTTGAAAATCAAATGAAGAACGCATCCAATTTGTGAATGGCTTTGTTTTTACGCAGTTCTGTTCACGTATCAAATGTCTGGCTTTCTAGTTCGTTTTACTAATTACTTGCTCTCTTTATGTATTGTCATCCCACAATCATCTAATGTTTCACTGATGTTTCTTTTGTGTTCTCCCTCTCTGTCTTTCCTGGTTCCCTTGGGTTGTTTTGTGCCTGTGGTTTTTTGGCCATGCCTTTTCTCAGAAGGCACGCTTCGCACAGAATATGCTCCCCCTACCAGGTGTCTGTCTCTCCACCCCAGCCTGTAGGGGGTTTTGTATGGGACTTTTTAGGAAAGTGAGTTTCTTACAAGGCTATTGTTTCTTGCTGGCGGAATGCTGCTTTCTGCTAACTGGCTGCAATTTCTGCTGGGGTTTGCTGTGTCATTGTATGTATGTCTGCCAATGTGCCACATTAATTGGATTTATGCAACATTTGTAGACCCTGGAATACAACTTAGAGCACTAGTTCTGCTGGTATCATATTATCAGCATTTTTGAATGACTTGTGTTTTGACCTTCTCTTCTTTTGGTGGTTGTATTTCTGTGAATTCCCGCACTATAGCTCCATTACTTTCAGACCATTTCAGTCTCAAACTGTTTGGCTCAATTCTGCTTTCAAACCTATATAAAACCTGTTTTGTGTGTTTTTAAATTAGAATGAGAAAACTGAAAGATAACACACAACTCTGAAACATCTTGCTTATGTATTTAAATATTTATTTAATTTGTCTTTGAAGGCACACTGCCCCCATAAGATGGTTTACAGCTCCATTTATATATATATATTTTCTAGTAAGGCACAATCCAACTGAACAGGAACTAAAATAAAAAATATATAGGCACATAAACCTGTATGAGCGTACTTTTCATTCTCTTCAGGGTGCCCATCATTCACCTTTCCTTAATAAGCTGTTTATAACTAGTTGCGGGCCCGGGAGCAAGTGAAGCCATGAGGGGTGGAGGGTGAACAGGCAGTTAAGATATAAAATAAGACACAAGGCACCAGTGCTGGGATCAGATAAGGCCACAACTTTATTGATTACAGATTTATGCAGGTTTGGGCATAGGCATTGTGTATGTATCTTGTAATCAACCAGCCTGCCTGCTGGTTTATGGATAAGAAGTAGGATTTGGCCACTGTCGCGGGTCACCTGTTGACATGCTTCATATCCAGAGACCCTCCGTCCCCCGATCACTAGTAAGGATACTAAGGCCTTTCTGCCCCTTTTGGGTATTTGGACAGGAAGCACCCCCCAGGCTCCCTTGGGGGATACCCAAACTCCTGCCCAACTGGTCTAAGAATCCAACCCTCATCCGCCACTTGAGATGGACCCAATACTGACTCTGCCCATGTAACTGTGACAAACTGCAGCTCCAGTGATGTTCTGTTCAGGGAATCCAGTGAAGACTGCTTGTCTTAAGCACACTGACTTAAATAGCCAGGGAGGGGACTGGAGGGAAGACTTTCCCAAAATAAACAGAATTTTTAAAAATGCTAGTTTGAGGATTGTGTCATCTTTAAGCCATATGCTTAGCTCATATTGAAGTAGTGAAATGACCTGAAATTAGTGAACTTTGCTCAAACTTTATTTAGAAATGCATCACTTCACCCTATGTACCATTTTCCTTCAATTTTGTAACACATTGTATCAAAGGTATACACTTAAAGTTTGGAGGCTGCTTCTCAATGTTGTAAGGAATGCGGGTAGCATGTGTGCTTGGAGGAAAACGTTGCTTGCAATAATGGTTGCATTATTTTGTAATTTGAGTTGCCTCATTCTAACTGATCTTGCTTGCTCAGGCCTGCTTTGTTTGGCGAAGTTGCTTGCTGTTTTGTATTTAAGTCAATTTCACTGATGTAGGTTTTTTAAAGGATGTTGTACATTTAAACAGAGTGTTTCCAAGCTGCTCTGCAATTCTAGGCATGTTCTAAATGTATAAAGCAACCAGCAGGGTTTTTGGCTAGTTGATGAACTGCCAGGTCACAAGCATCCAGTGCCTGCTATATTTTTGTTGCTTGGTATTAAATTGGTATCAATACAAAGTCTTGTAGAAAACAAACTAGGTAATGTTTATTTTTTCTCTCTGAGGTCTTTGACATTTAACTGAATAAAGCACATCTCATCAGTCATTTCTGGCTCTGTCCTTGATGTTGGCAAATGAAAAAAGGACATTTCTACAGGGGAAAAATAAATTTGGTCATAAATAATCTGAAGTAGACGTTTCATTGTCCTTTCCTGACTTCTATGCTTTCCTTACCCCAATCCCTCTGAGATATTAGAGTAAATAGTAAGTAGCTGCAGTGTAATACTGACCCAAAATCAGTAGGTTCTAAGCTGCTAACTTTTTTTTGAAACACAGCTGTTTTAAAATCTGTTTTCTTGTTGTAAATGTATCTAAAGATGACAACTTGCAGTTGAAAGTTAATTTTCAGAGCAGCAGGTAACTTTTTAGCTGAATTGACTGGTATCATTAGTAGTGGTCTGTCAAGTATCAGATCCACTATGTTTCTAATCACATTTCTTTTGAAGTGGCAGTCTTCAGTTTTTAGCAATTTGTATAGTTGGTATATTTAATCCATTGAAATGACTTTGAAATGAGGCAGTGCATCGATTTGAAAAAAATGTGCATTACACCCAAATCAACCTGATGGTTTTGGATATAACCTTTTTAAAGTAGCCTTAAACTGGCTTACAGTTATATATAGTAGGAAGCTCTTGAGTAAAACTGAGTAAGAGAGCAAATAATAATTTAACTTTTACTCAAGACATATTTTTGCTAGTAAGTCAAAATTTTGGTGGTCACTTCTGGATCCGAATATTTGTACTGCATTCCTAGAGTACGTTTAAGATAGAGCCAGTTCATAGGTTACCACGACTGTTTCTTGAACATTTATATGTTATTTAGTGATCTGTTTCTCACATGCATGATTCTCTTAGAGAGGAGGAACAATATATTGTTCCTGATGAGGAAGAGCATGATCTGTGTTGAATGATTGTCCTAAATAGCCATAATTTTAGCTTGTAAAAACAACACAAAACTTTCTTTGCAACTTGCTAAATCAAGAAGATGAAGAATAATGCTGCTTTGATTTTGTCTGTCAATCTCATATTTATCAGTGAAATTGACCATAGATAACTCTGAAAACAGGGTGTTAGAATTAAAGCAAAAAAGGCAATAATGAACTCCTGAGGCCCACGGCTGTGCAGTAACCTCCAACAGGTAGTCTTTAGCATGCCTCCCAGTCCATAGTGTTGGAGGGAACTGACTAGAAGTAGCATGTTCATTATTGTTTTTTAGATTGCACCTCATTATATAGACTTAAAATATAGCTGACTTGACAGCAAGCTTGAAAATGTTCTTAGGTGTTTAAAGAATTCATACAAAATGAGAAGTAGTTCCTGGGTTTTCTTAAAGTTTTATGAGCAACACATGAAGGCTTGTGGTGTAGTGATTCACTTAATTTTGGCCTTCTTGTTGAGATGAATTAAGATATTTTCTTGGAATAAATTTTAAATCTGAGAGGGAGGCAGCCTGAAGAAAGTTGTCTGATTTCCCAGAACTGTCATCTTGCTAACATCTACGTTCCATAAAATATTCTCTCAAGCAGTAGACAGTTGCTTTCCAGTTTGATCCATGCAAACTTTGGAGTTGTCTTTACACTATTGCTCCAAGAAAGGAAACAAAATAATCAAAAAGAAGGCATTTTCTGGAGCACTCCTTATGTGTTGAATGGTGTAATCTAATTGGGTGGTTCAAACTGCCCTGAGACCTTCGGGTATAGGGCAGCATAGAAATTAAATAAATACAAAATTATAATTAATTCTTTTTGTTGCTGGGAAGTTTACCAGAATAGAGGATTTTGGTTGAAAAAGCCTTGCCTTTCTTTCTTGTCTTGCTTTCTGATGCTGTGCTGCTCCTTTGTCACTTTTCTTGATGTCTTAACTTTGGAGTGTATCCTCATTAACCTTTTCTCTAACTTTCTCTTTCACATTTCCTACCCTGGATTTGCTGCTTGGTTCAGCCTCACTTCAAGGTCAGTATATATTAATTTAAGGATTTTATTAGAGAGGTACATCTACATCTGAGGTAGTGAAACCCAATTTTCTTCTCTAGAAGACGGGATCAGAAATATCTTACTCTATATAGGAGAGCTGGACTACAGAGTAGTTTATAGCACAAAACTTGGATGTGCTGGCAGTAGTTACTGTTGTTTGTTCAGACATTAGCAAACTCTTACCAAAATAATGAGCAGGGGAGAGTGGGACAGTCAGCACATTGGCTGGCTTCCTCCAGTCCTGCGCTGAGTATCTGCATTGTAGGCTCTGTGTCACCTCATCCAAGTTCAGATTCTCCATCTTCTGCCTGGCCAATGAGGCCAATGAGGCGTGAGTACATTGTATCAACAGTGGCTATGGGCCATCTTGAATCCGTACTGTCTGCGTGTTGCCACATCTTTCAAGAATTCACTTGTTCTACACTTTATTGATTTATCTGTGTGCACGGGCAGACATTTTGACCTGACATTAAAATTTTAGTCAATTTTATCATTTTGATCCAGTACCTGAAAATAAGAGAGTCCTGAGTGGTACTTCTCTTTGTAATTGGAAAATCAGTTGAATGGCCTACTAAGACTCAGGAGCTTTGGTCGTTCGTCTTAATCATTGTGTGTGTGTGTGTGTGTGTGTGTGTGTGTGTTTTATGTCTTCAATGCGAAGTTTTAAATCTGCCCTATACTTACGGGCTGTGGCTGTTTGCAAAATAATCCCATTGTATGAGAGTAATAAATTAGCTGATCAGTACACATATTTTTCAAATAAGGATTGTATGGGACATTGTTTTCAATGCTTATGCAAATATAGAGGGCTGCTTTGAGGGGGAAGTATACCATTTAGAGGCTAGTTTTGAACTTGTGCATACTTGTTTTATGTATGTCTGAACACTTGCAAAATGTTGAGTATGCGGGATGTATTTCTAATTTAGGATATTATGGTGTGCTGTGCTATTGTCAGAAAGAGCACTCTGGTTGTTATGCCAAAGTTACACATGTTTCTTTTTTGGAAGTTGCAAGAATAATCAAAAGGAAGTTATTAAAGTTCCAAAAATATTTGTATAACCAAACTTACAACAAAAGCCTGTGTTGAGCTATTGATCAGCAACCCCACTGGTAATAACTCCACTTACCCATATATAGAGGAGGATAAACTTGGGAAGCAAGAATAACAGTAACACTACCTGATTTCATCGCCTCTAGTGGGAGAAAAATTAAAAACACATTGTTACAGTAATTCATATCCTGAGTGTGCCATAGAACCCCAGAAAATTTAGCATGTGGCTTTATTAATGCCATATGGGGGAAGATGGTGAAACATGGAAGACAGGGCTGGCAAATCCCAGTGTTCTTCTAGCCAGGTATGTTTCCAGTCAGGTCTGAAATAGTTTGGAGCAAAAGACCATAAAGGATAATTAAAAAAAAAAAAAATCCAAGCAAAACAGTGCTTTAATTTCTAGTTGGGTAAGAAGCCAGCAGGAAAGAGATCTTATCGCATTTCACCAGCTAGACATGAGCAATACTGAACACATGTTCGCCCTAAAGGCATGTGCCAGAAGTTTGCAATGAAATGGCATAATTGTCAAGGAGTTTTATAAAAAAGGAAATGGTGTAAAGGCTCTAATTTAAAAAGTCATCTCTATTCTCCAGAGAAAAAATGTTCAGCTGGTTTTTCTAAGTACAAATAGTTGCAGTTTCTAAGTCTGAAATGCATATAGCAGAATTAGAGTAACTTCTTATATCTTAAGGACAGCTACTGTACTGGCCTACTGATAATCAGCATTTGAAAGCCAAAGTCCTTTTAAATATTTTGATTTTTAGTTCATATTGCAGAAATGGTCTCAGTGCAACACTAATAAACTTACCATGCTGAGTTTATAATGAAATGATTGTCTTGCAGCTAACTGGCCAAGTAAGCAGTCTTGCACGCATGTGCAAATGCACATATGCACAAATTTTTCACAAGGTTTGAATATTCTGGTTCTGTGCTATCCTCAAATTCAACTGCTTCATAAGTCTTCTACCAGCTCTTAAAACTGAGTTGTAAGAAGTGTGTCATTAAATTGGAAATTGGTCCCAAATTTTCTGCACATTTTCCAGGAGGTATGGGTCTTGCCATGACTGATGCCTCAACTCAAGCTAGTCAGGCACATGTTACCTAGCATACTAAACACTTGGAAAGTAATAATTCAAAATATTTCGGCAAAGAGCAAAGTCTCTTTGATGTATGTATGTACATATGTATGTATGCAACTGCTCAAAAGCTCAGGGGCAAAAGAGCCCGCACAGTTCTCCCCTCCATCATATTGGTAACAAGACCAGTGAGTGCATAGCTGTCAACCTTCCCTTTTTTTGCGGGAAATTCCCTTATCCCAGCGCCGTTTCCCGCTGCTTCCCGCTTCTATCCCGGATTGTTAGATATCCCGTAGACTGTCCCAGGGACAGGTGAGGCTGCTGATCCCTTATTTTCGAGGCTGCTGATCCCTTATTTTCAAATCTGAAAGTTGACAGCTATGCAGTGAGTGTAATATGACCTCTTTGTCATTCTTCCATAACATCAATATATCATCATATCCCACCATCCTATTATTTAGGGAGAAGCCTTGCACAAATCAGATGGCCATGTTTATGAACTTCTTTGTGATGCCTGCATCCCATGGGTGGTAGTAAGCCTATTGAAATTAATGGACTGACCTTGGTCATGTTCATTAACTTCAGTGGGCTCACCCTGAGTGAATTCTGTCCCATGTTTCTTTAGGAGAAGGGAAATGAGCCCTCATTCCTCCTCCCATCCAAAGACTTCCCCCTAAATGTCTGAAACAGGTCCCAGATTCATACTTGGAGGCATTTCCACAACTACATTTAAGTTTGTCAACTCTAAGAACATAGAAATGTCAATTTGTTTCAGTACATGCCCGTGTTGCCAACAGTTTATTAAAGTCTTCAATCATATAAAATACAAATCAATGATAAGATTATTGTATATAGCCCATACCTTCTCTTATATATCCTCTATTTCCTCACTCTGCCTCAAACTATTTTTAAAATATGTAATGGTAGGGGTTGACTGAGCCCCCTCTGGAAATAATGACAAATTAAACATACAAGCAAGACCAAAAGCAGGGGATGTGGATTATAGAATAACTGCTTCTCTCTTCAATCAGCTTATAGCATGATATTAATTGCCTTCTATGTCTGTATTGGGTGGCCTTCCAAATATTGCATGAATCAGCCAAGATATAGGACATACTTAGATACATGCTTATGCAATCTTCAAATTCCAACCAAAAGGTTAATAGCATAGGACAACCTCAAATTCCACCCCTATATCCCAAACATTTTAGAACACTCATCTTGGGACAATATGAATTTTATTTCTATCTTTCTAGACTTTGCAAACAGTTCAGAATTAGTTTAAAATGAAACATTCAACCTACGACACTCACCCAAACATCATTACAGAAAGATGTTTAAGTTTTCTTCAAGTCATCATTAACCTGGCTTTTGACACTTGAGATGTATATTTGTAGGACCCACTTTATTTTAATAAGTTATTTTAGACTGTTTTTAACATTGTGGAATATTGTATTTTTAAATGTGTTTTAAATGTTGTACCTCACCCCTGGACCTTAGAGTGAAGGGTAGGTACTAAATTGTAATAATAATCAGCAGCATCAGTGAGGAACATTGTTGTATCTCCAGAGGAAGGATGTTCTGTACCTGGGGCAGTGTCACAGAGAAGGCCCTATCCTGTGTCACTATGTATCAGGTTATGCACATCAACACACCCACAAAAAGGACCTTCCACACAGAACATAGGATTCAACCAAGCAGCTATAAAAGTATTCAGCTCAAAGTCATTTATTGATTTACACGCTAAAGTTAACACCTTAAATTAGACCAAACAGCAAATGAGCAACCATCGCAATTCTAGTCTAGCAGTGGCATCCTGCACTAGCTGCAGCTTCTAGACTGTCTTCAAGGGTAGCCACATACAATGCAATACAATAGTTCAATCTACAGTGCAGTAGTACAGTATACAGAGTAGATTTCACATTCTTTATGTGCCCAAATGAGTATAATATTTGTACTATTATTTTAAAATAATTTTCAGATATTGTAGGGTTCAGCACATGTATGCACATTTATTCTCTCCCTGTGTTGTTGACTGCTCACAATGCTTTTGAAAGCGCCACATGGGAAATTATTTAGGGACGGGAGAGCTTGTTTTTTAGGGAAATTGATGGAGCACAGTGTTTTCATTTACCATTATGTAAAATGTTTAAATTACAATATATCGTCATGTTAACATATCCCAAAGTAAACAAATTATCCAGTGTGACATCATTAGAAAGATAATTGAGGTTATTATTCAAACTTAATTTATGTGCATCAGATTATTCCAGCAAATACAGCCTCCAGAGGGTGTTTAAAAAAAAAAGACTAATAACAAATGATTTATGTGCACCTATTAGTGACAAAGTAGACAGTCATTATATAGCTTATAGAGTCCCCCTACCCCACTATAAACCATGTATGTTTTATGGTTTACCAAAACTAAACCAAAATGAGTTCCAATGAATAGCACTTATTTATTTCATTTTATTTATTTTCTCGCATTTCAATCTCACTTTCCTTCCATCATGGAATCCAAGTTGATGTATGTGTGGTTCCCAAGAGGTCACCACCCAGGCAGTAACTCGACCCAGACCTGCTTGGCTTCCACAAGGTGGTGACCTCGTCTACCTTCAGACCTTCAGGAACTTGGGTTCCTTTTATCGATCTCTGTGCCACTAATGCAAGAGGAGCATTGGCCAGCATTTGGGCCCATTTGCTATCTTTAGGCATGATTAAAAGAAGAGGTTGCACAAGTACTCTAACCCGTCAGCAGAGAAATTGTATTGCTCTTTGTAGGACCAGATAAGATTCTAGCTCACTCAGGGGCACAAGTGCCTCTGTAGTTTTCTCTCCACTCAAGAAATGTG